GCCTTTAGTTTGATGCACAGCTGAAATAAGCTATGCTAAATAATTACTATTACAGACATTGGTTAACCATATTTCTCTTAATTTGTAATACCTATGTTGAGTGACAACATCTAGCCAACTTTGGCTGACCTCAAAGAAATTAAGCAGATTCAGCCTGGCTAATATATGGGTAGAGATTACCAGAAATCAGAGCTGTAAGCTGCAGTAGGAAGTAAAAAAACAAACACCCAAAGGCTATAAAATCGCCAGGAGCTGAGCTTGAGTTGGGGATTACATTCCTTATCCTTCCAAAAGAAATTGATAATCTGTGTTGCATGTTTTCATAACAGAGCTCAAGAAATTAAAGTAAATTACATTTACAAAATGTAGACGTTATATTTTAATTTCTGATAGCTATAGTCATTGAGGGAGAGTTTACTTTTTTTTTAAAAAAAATTGCTGTTGATAAATATCACAGAAGCTATTATAGCGTGGCCCATGGACACATCCCTTTTCCCATTGCAGCGAAGTGATAAGCTTTTCTAGGATGGTGCCTGTTGCAAAACATATATGTATCAGACGGTTTCTTTGGCAAAAACGGTTCTTATATAGATTTAAGCTATTTAAAACTTGCAACAACTCATCTAACATTTCTTTAATAAAGGTGACAGAAGTAATTTCACAACTTCAGGGTTTGAAAGTAAAAACTGTCACATGCAGACTTTGAAGAGTTCCTGGCAAAGAGACAGCTAAGAGACTGGAAATGTCTCCAGTGTTATCTTGCCACTGCCATAAATTTTCTAAGCCTAAGGCACACCTCTATATCTTGTCTTAGCTGTCCCATGTGCAATGGGGGGGGGGGGTAAATGCTATTGTTGCTGAGATGGTATGAGCAAAGCTCTTTGAACACTTTAATATGTTGTATAAATGTTCATGTTATAGAATGTCAGGCATCATGAAAGGAGTGTCTGTTTTAATAGGCAAAAGACACTTGTGGCCTGAGGCTCTGAACTTCTTTAAATGAAGTTTAGAGGTGCGTATACCATTCTAAAACTTCAGGCCTGTGGGTCTTTCAAACTTTTCTCGTCCCTCTTCTCGTTCTTCTGGCTGATAAAATCATGCAAGGCTAACACAGACTGCATCTCAAAAATAAGCTTTTTTCTAAGCCAACGAGACCTCTTCACCCCCTCCCCCAAAGTTTAAAAAAAAAAGCATAGCCCTAAAATGTCATTTCAGATTTATAAACAGATGATTTAATTTTATTACTCCTATTTGAAATTTGCTGCATTAAAATCATTAAAAAAAGAGAAACAACTATTTTATCTAACATACTGATTCTTTTCGTTTATTGTATAGTAGTGATTGTGAATGTGAAAGCTTAATATCTTTGGTATTCTCTTCAGTATTAAAGAGAGTTGTTGAACGCAGTCTTAGCCAGAGTTCGTTAAAAAAAAGAGCTTGTATTTTTATATTGTTTAGTATATCTGTTAACCTAACAATACTTGTTAGAATATATTGTGCTTCTATTTTTTTTTCTCTTCTATTTTGCGACTGTGGGAGAGCTCCTGTTTGTGTATGTCAGGTGTTTTGCCAGAATTTTCAAAAATTAATTTCTGAAAAAAAAAAGGTCATAAGCTCCTAAAGTTTAATTTAAACTTAATTAAATTAAGGTATCTCATTCAGTAGTTTCAATATTTTAATTGGCAGAATCTAGTTAATTTCTACAACATCATAATCGTGATCCACAAAGAAATTTATATGTCATCAAGGTATCCATGGGAAAAAAAGTAATTAACAGGAATCATAATAGCATTGTAGTCTCTAGAAAAGGCATGGCGTGAAAACAAGATAAAATAATAATGAAGAGCCCGCAATACTAATACCATGAAATCACAGAGGTAAATGTCTTGTGTAAGAAATTCTGTTAAATCTGAAATATTGCTAGTGTAAACATTGTGTGATATTTAGAAAGAAAGAGCAAATTGAAGCACCATGGAGAGGTGTGGAGCGGTAGAGTTGATTTCCTATAATTATAATGGATGAAATTGTGCTTATTTCATTCTGATATTTCATATCTAAAACCCTTTGCTTAAGAACTGATCGTTCATATCCCAAGGGAAATAATCTCTTCAGGAGTACTAGGTTTAAGCATAATCTTTTGTCTGTGGTCCTCTTCCAGTTAGATTGAAATCTGTTGACTAAGTAAGAAGAGTAAGTTCCTTGGGACTAAAATGAACTTCAAGCAGAAGTTAGAGATGGTAATCTATCCAAGGCCAAATTCTATTTGAAAGGCAACATGGCGTACATATTAAATCATCTTGAACGCACCCCTCAAAAGTTAAACGTTGCACTAAGTGAGGAATGCCTTTGTCATCATATTATTTGAAAATTGCAAAGATATAAATTGAATAAAAATAGTTAATAGTTAGCATTATCTTATGTACATTTGTGTGTGTGTGTGTATACTATGTGTTTGTGTGTGTAGTGTAGTGTAAAACGAAAGCACAGAACAGTGTTCCTCAACCTATGTTCCTCAAGTTCTTCAACTTCCAGAATTCGTGGGGAAGTCTTGGGAAGTTCTAGAAGTTGAAGTCCACACATCTTAAAGTTCTCTAGATTGGGAAAGACTGGTGTACAAGTTTATAAAGCCTCATCCCTAAAAATAATGCATTTTGCGCCTTTTTTGCGCCTTTTTTTTAGTATTTTAAGCAATAGTTAATTTTTACAACTTCTTTCTAGAATATAATAAATTTTCTATAATTTACTTATTGCTCAGGTACTCGTTTTTGTTAAAGAAAAGCAGCATAGTAAACATTGGCCAATGTATTTGAAAGGAAATTATAGGTTAATGAAATTTAACATTCAGGCAAAACAATGTGTTTTCTTCTCTATTTTGTGAAATAGTTGGAGATAAACTGGAACATAATTAATAGGCCAGCCCTTTAGTGAAAGTTCCCATATGCTAGAAAAAGATGCAGTTGGTTTAAGTAGAGGTAGATAGTAGTTATATTTATAATCCTGTACACTCTAATGTTTTTTCTAACATTCTAAAATCATGAAAATGGGAGCAGAAGAGGAAGTGAAACATGTAACTATTGAAGGATACACAGAATATGACATAGAACATATGTAATACCTACAAAAATTACTTTGAAGCAAAAATCTGCTGCGTGAACAGTAATGCTATTGGACTGAGAGATTAGATGCAGATATAGCATGTTCCAAGAAGGGTGTATATCAACTCTGAAAAAAATCCAGAACAATTTATGATCCTTACAGACTGCTAAGTTCCTTTAAATTGGGATTAGACCAGTTCATGAAGTTCAAGGTGTGAATGTCTAGTAATAATTATGGCTACTTAATTTATTCAGTATGAATCTCATACCCGCTATGGGGAATTAGCCACCCACCTTGGCCAATGATTCTTTTTGGTGTACATTGTAAAACAATACAAAATAAATATGTATGACCGTTGAGTAAAACTGTTGCCACAAATGTTAATATAATCAAGAAATAGGGCCCTTAACATATTTGGAGCCCTAGGCCTGGACATATAACCAGGTCCTCAGGGCCTTATAAAAGGTCAGAAGGTCAGGATCATCTTGATCTTTGAAGATAGAACATTCAGGAAGAATATTTCAGAAAGCAGAATATTTCAGAAAGCAGAGAAGACATGTCTTTTAGTCCTGGCCAGCTTACATTCTTTAGGTGACAGGACCCATCATATCTTCAACCTGCTGGACTGAATTAGACACCTGGGAGAAGATAGCCCTGTAGGAAACCCTCTTCTAAGTCATGAAGGGCTTTAAAGGTGTGACAACCAGCACCTTGAATTGCACCTGAAACATTCTGGCAACTAATGCAGCTCACACAGTAGTGTTACATATCTCAAATATCCAGGGATAGGATACAGATACTGTATGTAGTAGACCAGTGTTAAAGAACACGGCTACTCTTACATACTTAAGTGCGCTTGGTTAAGATGTTACCATGTCGTATCTCGTCCTATAATATATTAATCAAAGCATTCACATTTATATGCAAAGAAAGCAGTCATTAACACAAGACAATGTATTATCCAGGGTGTGGCATTACAATAGCAGGTGTGCAAGTTAGTTGGACAACCGTTTTGTTCAGGTCTAGCATTTGAATGTTGATGGTGATAATGTATGAGTTAAAGTGTCAATGGGAATTCAAACAGGCAAAGAGTTTTTATTTTGGGAAGAACGATAATGCAGAATTGTAACTTCCTATTTGTGTTTGGGTCTCAAAAAGCTTTTGCTTTTTTAAGTACATTCTGTAATCATGTTGGTACCAAGGAGAAAATCAATTACAGAGGTTAACATTTTAAATAGTTTCTCCCCTTGCTGATGATGAAAGAGCTAAATATCTGTTTGTAACCCATTTATTTAAAATGAAGAGTAGGATGTCTATATTAATTTTCCATATTTTTTTTATAATGAATGTCTCTTAGGTATTTAGGACAATGTAGGTGTCAAATGTTCTCTTCCTTATTCTTCATTTTTTTTTTTACTTCATATATGTGTGTGCATGTGTATATGAAGGGAGCCAGGGATCATTGTTTGACACCAGAAAATTAAACTAGCTTCATTTTTAGTTGCTTAGGCTGTATTAAATAGATAGCAAAGAATATCATGGTTTTAAAAGATAAGTGTCAGGAGCCTAAAGTAGACATTCAGACTTTTGGATTAATGGGATAGAAGTTCAATAATTGTATGGATTTCAGTAAGCTTGAAAAGGAACGGCATTCCTACCAGGCTGCTGTGATTATTAAAACACTGAGTTTCCTGCAAACATGTTGTCCTTAGATTCTGTGTTTACAGGCACAACAAAAGATGGAAACTTGCAAGGACAGCAAGTTGTGTAGATTTAGAACATGTATTTGTTATACATTTCCTTCTAAAAGTAACGGTCCAGTGAAGAAATGTTACAAGAGGAATTGTGCCTCATTTCTCTCTCGTCTCCCTCTCTCCCCTCCCCCTTTTTTTTTATTCATGCAGGGCCCTCCTGATTTTCAACAAAACACTCCTGGACCTGTTCCTAGCAATTTCAACCAAGGCCCACGACTTTCCCTCCAAGATCAGTGGCGAGGACCTCCACCCCCCCTTCCTCCCCCACCTCCACAGGAGAGGGAACCTTTCTTCATGGGAGGTATGACCATTGTCTTACCGAGTGGGAAGACACGTTTTCTTCGATTCTCAGGGACAGGATTGGGCATGAGCCATGAAGGCAGAATCTGCCACATCTTATCATTTGGCCGATCTCAAAATTGTCCCGTTTTCCTTTGTTTTGGAGTCCAGCCATGCATTCTTAAACCACAGAAAATTTTCAGGAAGTGATGCCCTAACTAACTACAGGGTAATTTGTCTACGCAATTGATGACTTCTAAGTTGGAGTAGAGAGTACTGGCTAATGGAAGAAATCATTGGCAACTCTCTGTGAGACTTTTATTTCCAGTGGGGTTGGGCCAAAACTGGTATTTTGCTTGGCAGATGAGTTGGTGTCATGCTGTCTCCTTTTTTTTTTTATCTTTCTGATGACAGAGCCGAGATTCCCCGGCCATCACTTGTTTGAACAGCGGAGCCCACCACCCCCACCCCTTCTTAACAGCACGCACTCTGTGCCTAGCCAAAATCAGCTCTCATTCAGTCAGCCTGGACCTGGTTTCAGCCAGCAGGGGCAGCAACCCCTGTTTCCAAGAGAAAGGCTGGTGAGGCCAACTCTGCAGCCTCAGGGCCCCCTGGGAATCCTTCATTTCAGCCAGCCTGGAGCAGCCAACGCACGGCCTTTTCTTCCCCCACGGCAGTCCTTCCTGCAGGTCCCAGGACAGCCGTTCTTAACCTCTCTCACCCAAGCCGGCATGCAGGTATGTAATGATCTCTGTTGAGTCTCGTCTCCATGACCATTGTAACCTGAATTCTCCTGTGTAAGCCCTCCAATGCCTTTGTTGTTCTTCCCTCTTGTTCCTTTCTTGTCTTTTTGCAGGAATATAATTTTAGAGAATAATACAGATCTGCTATCTGCAATCACTTAAAGAAAAAGATGGCAACTCTCTTGTTTGGTACTTGGAAGAATATAGCAAGATTTTTACTGTGCCTTTTTTTTTTTGGCCCCTTCGTTCAAACCCTCTTATATGTAAAGCAGCCCCTTATTTCATATTTCAGGTTAAGGGTAAAGTAAATTGTGGATATTGACCTGCCTAGCATACTCGTGCTGTAAAAGGGATTCTGGGAGTTGTAGTCCAAAGCTATCTGGAGTGTGCCATTTTTTCTGGAGGGAGGGGGGGGAAAGCTGTTACAGGTTATTACATTTAGTCTTTGCTCAGATCATACATTGCTTACGAGAGAAGCTTCCTTTATAAACGAGCTTAAATACTTAATGTTTGAAGCAATTTAAACCTACCTTTTTATTGCTGTGCCAAACATGACAGCATTATTCTCCCTACCACCACAGCCACTGGTGGCCAGCCCTAATTGTATTTATAAGGGCTAACTGCAACTATATCATGAAGATGCTTGAAAAGTGAAGACATTAAAAAAAGGTTGATTTTTGTGAAGCTGTTCACAGAGCTAATGGGATTAGAGAAGTTTGTAATACGACATTCTGTTACATATTCCATGGTTTCCTAAATTGATTTACTCCAGAAGAAGTCCGGAAGTCTATTTCCGGAAAACAAGTTTCTGTGGTGTATCTGTTAAGCATGCTTTTATAAACATTAGATCTGGAACACTACAAGACTTAGAGCTCCCTCTGCTGGTGCTTCAATTTCTTTCATGAGAGCTCAGATAACAAGCACCAACTTTAAAAAAAGATTCTATTTTTTTTTTTTAAAAGATTCTTTTTTTTTTCAATTAAAATTGAATATGTTCAGATTCTAGCTGGGATCTTCACCTTCATCCCAAAAAGGAAGAGCTCCAGTGTAATTCAGGAGAGCCCTTGGATTAATCTGAATTCACAGATTAGAATTGGGTGGTATTTTAATTGGGTTATGCAGCTCTTTGGATTTGAAGATTGAAAGTTGGTCAGAGAAAACAAATTCAAACTTTAAAGCAGACAATACAGGTAGTAAGAATGATGGAATAACAAAGTTGGGAGATTGGCGGTCATCTAGTCCAACCCCCTGCTCAGGCAGAAAACCCTACACCATTTCGGACAAACGGCTGTCCAGTCTCTTCTTAAAAACTTCCAGTGTTGGAGCATTCACCGCTTCTGGAGGCAGGTTGTTCCACTGGTTAATTGTTCTAACTGTCAGGAAATTTCTCCTTAGTTCTAGATTGGAGCTCTCCTTGATAAGTTTCTATTTGTTATTTCTTGTTCTGGCTTTGGGTCCTGTGGAGAATGGGTTGTAGTCCTCGACTTACAACCACAAATGGGACCAAAATTCCCATTGCCAAGCAAGTTGGTTGTTAAGTGAGTCACACCTGATTTTACAACTGTTTTTGCCGCAGTTGTTAAATGTATTATTCTACGTTTTACATGAATCCTGCAGCTAATCCAGCTTCTCCCATTGACTTCGCTTGTCAGAAGCTGGCTGGGAAGGTCACAAATGGCGGTCACATGACCCGAGGATGTTGCAACTGTCACAAACACATGCTGGTTGGCAAACACCTGAATTTTGAGCACATGACCATGGAGATGCTGTGACGGTTGTAAGTGTGGGAACTAGTCATAAGTCACTTTTTCTCAGTGCCTTTGTAACTTCGAATGGTCACTAAACAAGTGGTTGTAAGTCAAGGACTATCTGTAGTGTCTTTTTTTCTGGATTACACAGCTTTTGCTGCTGTCTAATCCTAGGAAAATATATTTAAAAAGTCTCCGTCAGATGGTACTTTCCACTGGCATATACACCTAAGCACTTATTGTCTTCAGCTCCCAGTTTCTGAAAAACCTTAGTTTCTGTTAGAGTTATTTTTTTCTTGTTAAGTGATGATTGTATCTTGCTAGCAACCAGGGAGTAAATGTGACTTCACGCCTGCCATGTTTTCAAATGTACAGGGCCCTTTGCACCCTCCTTTGCAGCCACAGCCACCACCACCACAGCAGCCGTCCCAACCATCCCAGCCTCACCACCAGCCGCACCAATCCAACCAGCAGCAGCACCTGCTGCCTGTGCCTCCCCAGCCTCTGATTCCGGTGGCCCCATCCCAGTTCAGGCCACGCCTACAGACTTCACAGCCAAGCGGTAACCGGATGCCCTACCAGCAACGGCAAAGTCTGGTAAAGGCCAGGCATGTAAGTGTCCTTTCCATATAGAAACCAACAGGGGCTCGCATAAGGCAGGGGCAAGACCTAAACAGTCACCTTGGAAAAAGGTGTGAGTTCTTACCACTCTTACTGATTGCCCCTGACCACTCCCTGTGTCTGTATTTTATCGTTTCTACCCAGACAGATGTAGGCGGCTGGAATCTGTGCGGCATTTTTATTTTGAACATTTATATCCAGCCTTTCCGCTGGGAGTTTGTGGGAATGGGCTGGGGCTGTCCACTAGTTTTATTCATTTATTTAAATCTGTTGGCCACCCGGCTTTAATGTTATATGAAAGTAGAAAAAAACCCCCATAAAAATACTAAAAATCATCAGATTGCATGGGCAGCCCAGGCTAACCCCCCCCCCCCGGAATAAACAGCAAAACAAAACAAGGGCCTTAGACAAATCATAAACATAGACTTTGAACCTGAGAACAAACGCAGATTTTCAAAGCTTTCCAGAAGCCTAGGAGAGAGAGGACTATTCTTATCTCTGGGGAGTTGCTGTTCCAGAAGGTCGGGGCCACAACAGAGAAGGTATGCTTCCTTGTCAAGGTTTAATAGAGAGCCCCCACTTTTCCCCATTGGGTGGGCAAAAACTATTTGAAATAAGTGGTCTCTCAGATATCCGGACTCTATGCAGTATATAGGTTACACAAGATAAATTCTTTTACTCAAAATGAGGCTGAAAGAGTTGTCCAGTTATATCCCTATAGAAGAGTAGGCGTTTGAACCAAGGCCCATTGGCCCACGTCCTCTCTCTTAACCGCTACAAAGTGCTCTGGAGGTAATTGGATCCCATCTGTTTTCCTTTCTCCTCTCATTCCACACACCCCCTTCTACACCCCCCGTGAGGAGTCATTTTTAATATGACTCCATTCACCTATCTGTTGACATACCAGATTGGTATAATATGGAGTCAAGCTGCCACCATATAGGCAAACACTTGTCTTTCAGTTGGTGGGACTCTCAAGGATAAGGTGCTAGGAGCTGGGAATCAGTAGTTTTAAAAAAGGGCTATAGATTATCTACCATTACCATAGATTATGAGATCAGTATCAGGAGATGTAAGGAGTTTCCCATTCATCCCACCACTGGGCCTGGGCCGCCCAAATAGGTAGCCTGGAAATGAAAGTAGCTAAGGTGGCTTTCACTGGTATTTATTACAGCCCCATCCCCCAGGGAGCCATGAATAAGGCTGACATAAAGAAAATGTATTTTTCTTTCTAAATAAGAGAGAAAATGCAAAGGCAGTTTAAAACTAGCAGCTTGTAATCTACAAAGGTGTTAATCCGTCTTGAGGGGGACTATACCACATTATAATTCCCAAGACATAAATAGGCACCCGAAGCACTTAACAGTATTATTTATTAGAAAACACGTGGTAGCAAAGAGAAGCAGGGTTGAGCGTCTCAACACAATGGTCTTTGTTAATAAAGTGATAGTAAGGTGAGCTCATCTGAAACGGAGGCTGAACTTATTGGAATTATAGGTAGTCCTCGACTTACAACCACAATTGAGGTCAAAATTTCTGTTGCTAAGCGGGACCGTTGATAAGTGAGTTTTGCTCCATTTTACGACCTTTCTTGCCACATTTGCTAAGTGAACCAATGCAGTTGTTCGGATAGTAACATGGTTGTTAAGTGAATCTGGCTCCCCCCATTGACTTTGCTTGTCAGAAGGTCGCAAAAGGCGATCACGTGACCTCGGGATGCCATCATCAATGGGAACCAATTGCCAAGCGATTGAATTTCGATCATGTGACCATGAAGATGCTGCAGTGGTTGTAAGCGTGAAAAACAGTAATAGGTCGCTTTTTTCATTCTAGCTTTGAATGGTCACTGAACAAACTGTTGTAAGTCGAGGCTACCTGTATAGTTGTGAAACTAACAAGACTAGGATTTGGGCACACTGAAACTAAAACCAAAACTTGTAACGCAATCCAGCTGGTTACTTACAACAGATCCTGGAATTCTGCGTGTCATTGATTATTTTCTAAGTTCTATAAGTTTTCTCGCTCCATATTACTTAGAGCAGGGCAGCCTTTTCCTTTTTCCTGACAGACGATGAAATGTCTGTAGCAAAGTCCATCCTGGCCAGTTGATCTCAGGGTAGGAGGGCTGTAGGAGAGCTGTGTTTCACAGGAATTTAGCCAAATGGGCCTCTCAGCTACTCCTTACTAGAGGGAGAAGATTGTATCACCCATATATCAATTCTTCTCCATTGAGGAACCCTGAAATTTGACTTGGTAGAGGATGAGACCGTTACATCTTTACAGGATAAGGTTTTTATGGGGTTTTTTTTTGTTTTTGTTTCAGAACACACCGGCACAAAACATTTTAAAACGTCCAAATCAGCAGCCCGCATCAGCTGCCTCAAGAAATAGTAATTTGCGGGAATTGCCCATAGCACCTTTGCATGCGATTGACACTGCTAACAACAACCGACAAACTCCAGCTCCTTCTGTTCAAGCGAAACCGGTTTCTAGCATCACAGCTGCTATGAAGCCTCTTGCAGGTATCAAGAACCAAGTGGGAAAGATGGAGTCCAAGCCGAAAACGGTTACTCCCACGACTCAGCCTAAAGTGGAGGTTAAATCTGAACCAGAGGTAAGGGTCGCCTCTAGCAGAGGCCTAGGTGCACTGAGTGGTCATCTTTGTTTCAACAGTCTTCTTGACCAGAGAACCTTTTGCTTTTCAGTACTCTTCTGTACTCATGTCCCGGTTTTATTACCTGCCAAAATGTTCTTCTTTTTTATGTTCAGAAATTTAAAATTTTGATTTAACAGACCACTCAGACAGAAGAGGTGTTTGTTAAGCCCTTATTAATACTTATTAAATCTTATTAATACTTATTAAATCTGAAAGGTACTTTTGTGCTTGCATAAAAAAAACCTGATGGCCATTTTGCACATGTCTAATGGAAGCTGAGGAAAACTCTTTCCCGCTAATTTTTTTCGATGGCCTACTACTACCATTCTTCCCATCTTTTGCTTGAGGGATAGAGCTGCCCATCTCACAGCAGTGAGTTTGGATGGTGTACAGTCCTATCACAACAGTACAAACCATTAGAACAGGGGTAGGCAACACTGGCTCTTTTATGACTCGTGGACTTCAACTCCCAGAATTCCTGAGCCAGCATGGCTCAGCTTGGAAACCTCTCCCTTTCCCCTGAGTCAGCATGGCTGGCTCAGGAATTCTGGGAGTTGAAGTCCACGAGTCATAAAAGAGCCAAGGTTGCCTACCCCTGCATTAGAACAATCAAAATGGTATAAACCAGTGGTTTTCAACCTTTTTAATGCCGCGACCCCAACTGGTCGTAAGTCGAGGACTAAACCGGTCGTATGTCGAGGACTAAACCGGCCGTAAGTCGAGGACTAAACCGGTCGTAAGTCGAGGACTACCCAACCGGTCGTAAGTCAAGGACTTTCCCTGCCCGGGAACACCGCACATGCGTGGTTCTGCCCCCAGCGCCGGCCAAGGCGTAGCTGGCAAGCGGCAGAGACGGAGCAGGCCGACCACCAGCTGGCCCAGCTCAAGGGAGGTAAGGCACCCGCCGGAAAAGGGGAAAAAAATTGCGGACAAAAAAAATGGCGGACAGCCTTGCTTGGCGACCCCCGTGAAATGGTCGATCGACCCCAAATGGGGTCCCGACCCACAGGTTGAGAACCACTGGTATAAACTCATGCCTCAGTTACAAACCTGGACATCAGAATCATATCATCCACACCAACCAAGCTCATCTGATTACTTCACCCTTCCCTAAAGCCTGGAAGAACAGTCAGGTCTTCAGAACCCCACAAAAAACTAACAGGTTTGGGGCATCAGAATCCCTGATGGGCTCTTTTCCGCAGGGCAAGTGCAGCCTCAAAGGAGCCTGGTCTAATCTCAATTTTTCCAGTACTGGTAGTCCTTGACTTACAACTACTGTTGAACCCAAAATTTCTATGGCTAAACATGGCAGTTGTTAAGTGAGTTTTGCCCCATTTTATGGCCCTTTTTGCCACAGTTGTTAAGTGAATCATGTGGTTGTTAAGCAAATCTGGTTTCTCCCATTGACTTTGCTTGTCGGAAGTTGGCTGGGAATGGTGATCACACGACCTTGGGACAGTGCATGCGGTTGTCATAAATACATGCCAGTTGCCAATCCTCCAAATTTTGATCACCTGACTGTGGGGATGCTACAATGGTTGTAAGTGTGAAAACTAGTCAGAAGTCACTTTTTTTTCAGCGCCGTTGTTACTTCAAACCATCCCTAAACTAATGGTTGTAAGACGAGGAGTATTTGTATTTCAGGTCGATATATGCGATAGCGTAAAAAGTTTCTGTGGGACTTTCCATTCCTTGTGGGTTTTTATTTTTTTAGTTCCTAAATAAAAAGATCACCTGAGTCACATGACTGAGAAAATAAGTCACCTTTAACCTAAAAGCAGACTTTCTCTTTAGTAGCAGTTGTTGATATTTGACTAAATTGTAGCTGCACTGAAAGATGTAGCTCTATGAGGGGTTTTTTTTTTAAGCTTATAATGGAGTGGAACAGAATTCCTTCCTGATTTAATCTTTACAGCACGGAAGATGTTCTTCCATTTGGTGATCTTTCATTTAGGTCAGGACTGTCCAACCTTGGCAACTTTAAGAGCTGTGGACTTCAACTCCCAGAATTCCCTAAACGGCCATTTAGGTATTCATACAAGGGAGATGGAAACCTTCCCATGAAAGCCGGGACACTCATGTTTAAGCTGCTACATCTTTCCAAATAATTACACTTTCCTTTGAGTAGCCAGCTGGGGGGCCACACTCTAGAGTGGGTGAGGTCAGAGCAAGGAGCAAACCTGCTCTATTGAACATTTCATTAAAATTATTAAATGTAATCCTCAATTGAGCCTAAAATTTATGTTGCTAAGTGAAACATTTGTTAAGTGAGTTTTGCCCCGTTTTATGTCCTTTCTTGCCACAGTTATTCAGTGAATCATTGAAGTTGTTAAGTTAGTAACATGGTTAGGCAAATCTGGCTTCCCCATTGACTTTGCTTGACCATGGGGATGCTGCAACAGTTGTAAGTGTAAAAAATGGTCATAAGTTACTTTTTTTAGTGCCATTGTAACTTTGAATGATCACTAAATGAACTATTGTAGGTCCGGGACTATTTGTACTGCGGCTTCTCTTCAGTTGTGTTTTTAATCATTTCCCCTTCTGTTTTATTAAATATAACATTTGATGGCAATATTTAGAGGCTTCTGAGAGCCATGCATATTTCAGGGTTCCCAGTCTGTATGCTTTTTGCTAAAAATGATAACCACTGAAATCTTTTCTGGTTAATGGTTGCTTAAGTTTTTCATAGACCTATACAGCAACAATACCCATTTGGGGAAATTGTCATCTTTGACAATTTAACCCTAGACTTTTTGTGTGTGCTGATAAGGAAGCTTTGGATTTCACATTATTTGGATCAGATACTTGGAGCCAATGTGATGCTGCAAATCTAAAGATCTAAACTTTAGACTCAGGACTTACTGTGCTAGGTGTCAAGAGAGGAGGTGGACACTAGGGCTCCAAATTTCTGGGAGTGGTGCTTTGGGGAAAGCACCACTTTGAGTTGAGTCAAGACCAACTCAAGGAGACGGTGCTCATCTCTGATTCTCAGCCGAGGGAGCCTGCGTTGTCTGAGAAATGATTCCATCATCATGTGGCCAGCATGAAAATACAGAACGCAGTAACCTTTCCCGCCAAAGTGATACTTATTTATCTATTCGCATTTGCATGATTTCGAACTGCTAAGTTGGCAGGATCTGGGGCAAACAAAGGGAGATCATCGCACCACGCAGTACTTGGGTCTTGAACCTGGACTGTTGGCGTTCCAGCTGACAAGACCGCTGTGCCGTCACGTCACTCCAGTAAAGTGCAGAACCTTTCAAATCTGAATTTCTGTTCAGGATGTTTACTTATTTATTTAACCTAAAACAGGGTTTCCCAAGTAATCAAGAGAAATGGATAGAATGGTTAAGAGTATGTGAGGTGGGAGAAATTGCCATAGGCCACAATTGACGTCAGAATTTCTGTTGTTAAGTGAATTGTACCCAATTTTATGACCTTATTTTTTTTTTTGCCAAACTTGTTAAGCCAGTCACTGCTGTTGGTAAGTGAATCAGACAATTGTTAAGTGAATTCAGGTTCTCCGTTGATTTTGTTTGCCAGAAGATGGTAGGAAGGTTGTAGATGGCAACCACATGAGCCCAGGATGACGTAGCCATCATAAATACATGCCAGTTGCCACGTGCCCAAATTTTGATCATGTGAATCATGTGACCCTGGGAATACCGCGGTGGTTGTAAGTGTTCAGAGCTATTGTCGAAACGGCATTGGTTGCGTTGGTTGATGATCTCTGGAGGGCTCGGGATAGAGGCTATTCCTCTATCCTGGTCCTGTTAGACCTCTCAGCGGCTTTTGATACCATCGACCATGGTATCTTGTTGCACCGGTTAGGGGGGTTGGGGTTGGGGGGCACCGTTTTACGGTGGTTCTCCTCCTACCTCTCGGACCGGACGCAATTTGTGTTGGCAGGGGGAAAGAGGTCAACCTCGAGGCGCCTCACTTGTGGGGTACCACAGGGGTCGGTCCTCTCGCCTCTCCTGTTCAACATTTATATGAAGCCACTGGGTGAGATCATCCGTGGTTTCGGGGTGGAGTTTCATCAGTACGCAGATGACACCCAGCTGTACATCTCCACCCCGGACCACCCCAACGATGCCGCGGAAGTGATGTCCC